ATTCCTGGGCGGGAGAGTGTGCTCATTTTCAACTTTGCCAATTGCCAAGTTGCTCTCCAAAGTGATTATATCAAGAGTACTTAAATTTTTCTTTCTTTCTTTTTTTTTTTCCTTTTCCCATCCACTATCCCCACACATTATAACTGCCTCCCCGCTTTTCTCCATAACCACTCCTGGACTCTCAACCCCGTACCCCTGACTCCAGGTCCTACAAAAGCCCAAGAACTGGTCCGGCAAGGCCAGAGTGAGGACGATAGAGGAATGGAGTCAGGCAGAGCAGAGGCCTCTGCATCATAAGGGTGTGGGGAAGGATGAGAAAAAATCTGGAACCAGCATATGCTAATCATTTGTGTTGAATCAGACTGATAATGCCAGGTGACATATGTGTAACAGTCAGATGTGCTCAGGGCAGAGCAGGGTTGCAAAAGTTGAGTATCGACTTCTTTCCAATGGGGCAGGGAAGGATCCTTGGACAATTTTCCAAAATAGTTTTAGGATAAAAGGCAGTCAGATCTGTAAAATTCCACCTTGTGGCTGGGTAGTAGGCCCTCGGGGAACCACCCCCCTCAGAGGGGGGCTGACACACTTCTCACATGTGGGCAACAGGGAGTTAGGAAATCTTGCCTAAAAGTGTGAACAACTTGATCAATAATTCAATATTCTTTTTTAGATCTCCAAGTCTTGACAATGCGAATTCTTTAAAAACCATATACTGCATAATTAATTTTTTTGACTAATGATTAGTGTCAATGCCAACAACTTTTTGTTTTTGTTTTCTAAATCACAAAGAAGGGACGCCTGGGTGGCTCAGCGGTTGGCATCTGCCTTCACCTCAGGGCGTGGTCCTGGGGTCCTGGGATCGAGTCCCACACTGGGTTCCCTGCGTGGAGCCTGCTTCTCCCTCTGCCTGTGTCTCTGCCTCTCTCTGTGTGTGTGTGTCTTTTGTGAATGAATAAATAAAATCTTTAAATCATGAAGAAAATCCACAGCTTGCAAAAGCACAATGTCAACACTTCAACTCCCATTTGGAAAATATAAAGGATCCATGCTGTGTTGCCTTCTCCTTAATCACAAAGTGTCAACAATTTTCCTCTCATTTAAAACACATTAACAGGGATGCCGGGGTGGCTCAGTGGATAAGCATCTGCCTTAGGCTCAGGTCCTGATCCCGGGTTCCAGGATCGAGTCCCACATCGGGCTCCCTGCAAGGACCCTACTTCTCCTTTTGCCTGTGTCTCTGCCTCTCCCTGTGTGTTGCTGGTGAATAAAGAAATAGAATCTTTAAAAAAATAAAACTCATTAACAGGTCAGTGATTCATTTTTCGTAATTCTTAAAAGAGTCAACAATCCCATTCTCTGTTCCTTTTTCATAGCATTCATTTTCACTACATTTTATGAACTTCCACTTTGGGAGATTTTAAAAAACCACCCACGTCATTCCCACATCTCTTGTACAGCTACTGCTTCATCATACTACTTCCTTTTCTTCTACTTCCTTTTCTTTACATTCAGAAAACCCATCAACAGTTAGATCAATGGACATCGACTGAGTGGCTATGGATATTCTGTGGCAGGCATGAACAGAAGAAAATGACCCAAACTTGGGCCAGGCTCTTGGGCCCAGAGTCTGGCTGAGAATCTGACAGGTACACCAAGAAGGGATGGAGGCTTGACTCGGTGTTCTAATGAAGACCCAGAGTGAGGTGGGACCCGAGGAACTCAGGTCACCTTGGGATGGCAAGATTGGAGCTCTAGATGACCCTCACATCCAGATGATTTAGGCCTCAAGAGATTCCTGTCACATGTGAATCTGCCAAACCTTCTTTTCTCAATTAACACCAAAGACAGTGCTGAGAAACTCTGCTGTTCAAGATCATGTCAGTGAGATGAAATATTCCACTCTTGTCCAGCGAGTCAGAGCCAGATTTGACATAGGAGCAGCCTGGATTACCAAATCAGGTGCAGAGCTTCAGCGAAGAGTTTTTTGGACACAACAGTCCATATTTATCTTAACTTTGTGGTATCCAAAGATACAGGACTATGAGTCTATTTCTCATCTCAAGCTAGATGTTAACCCCTTCCTATAAGACCAGATTTGTCTTGAGCCTATCAACACTGCTTCATTTCAATTTCATCTAACTTCCAATCTTCCCCCAAATCTTACAGTGACCCTGTTTCTTCCTTTATTTCGTGGGACATCCATGATTTCTATGGGTGCTTTCTGCATCAAATTAATAATCCTAACTTTGTTAAACTACACCTGTGTCCCTCATGGTCTTTACCAGATTGGCTTTACCATAAAATTCAAGCCTTCTCTGTTCATTCATTCATTCATTCATTCGTCGATTCATTCAACAGATGTTTACCCACCCTATGCTCAGTTTTAGGTGCAAGAGACATGGTGATGGGACAATTAAGGTCTCTGGCCCTGTAGCCACTGCTTCCAGTGGGGGAGATAGAAAATAAACAGATAATAACCATACAGAGTAACAGGCTACAAAGGGACCGCATGGATGCCTTTAGAAGAGGGGGGACAGAGAAGGCTGCTCTAGAGAGGCCTCATCTGAACTGGACGCTGGAGGAGCAGATGTCAGGAAAGAGAACCACAAGCAGAGATCACCAAGGAGGTAAAGATGAGCTTCTTGGGTTTGCAAAATAACTAGAAGGCCAGTGTACCTGGAGCAGGGTAAGTGAATAGGAGGGCGGGGAAAGATGAGGAATATGGGGCAAAGTACCAAGTTTACATTTTATCCTGAATGATATGATAATCTGACACAGAGCCACAACATATATACTTTTCACTTGAATTTATAAATCTTTAAAATTCGAGCTGCTCTAGGACCTAAAGCACTGCCCCATCTCCCACCCCCACTCCATTCCAGCAGTTTTCTGAAGCATTTCTAAGGAATCTAAGAATTGGATGGGGGTAGGGGGAGGGCTACTGGAAGTCCTTCATGTGGTCCAACCCTCACACTTTACAGATGAGGAAACCAAGGCTGCAGGGAGGTGAAAGGTGGAGACTGCTCTGGAGGGGTGAGTGGGGGAAGGGCCGCAGTCACTAGTGGAGGTAAGAGTAAGGCCATGGCAAGGAGCTCTGGTTATCCACCCACCAGCTGGAGTGTCTGGCAATCTTGAGGTTTACCGACCGGCAGCTGCAGTATAGACAAAAGGTACATCTTCTCTTTCCCAGGGACATTGGTTAGGGGTGAGCTGGGATGGAGTGGGCCATGTGGGGGGTTAGGGTGGAGAGTAAGGAGAGTTGGGGGGCGGTGATAACCCAGCAGGGGTCTTTGGAGTGCCCCTCTTAATTCCTTAGCCTGTCCCACTTGGATAGGGCAGATGGGAGGAGAGATGGGTGGGCTACCTGAGTGCCTGTCCTTAACAGCCAAGTCCCTTCCCCTTCAGGGTTAAGAGCAAGGATGTGGGAGGGTTGCTTGGTTAGCATCTTTGCACTTCCTTTCACAGGCTGTGCTATTTTAACATGTGTGCTCCAGACTCAAATCCAGGCTAAACCCGGACTCGCTGTAGCTAAATGTGACTTCACATCTTCAGTTCTTAACCATCAGCCATTGGAAAATCTTGGGGAAGAGGCACTCAGGGGGCCAAGATTTGAGCCTTCTTCTTCTTCTTCTTTTTTTTTTTTTTATTTTTCTTTATCTCTTCATCTGTCAAAGGACATCATGGCTCCTTCCACAGTGGATGTTGTGTACACAAACACAATGGAATATTAGGAATCAGGAAAGTTGAAATCCTACTATTTGCAATGATGTGGATGGAACTGGAGGGCATTATACTGAGTGAAATAAGTCAATTGGAGAAAGGCAATCATCATATGGTTTCACCCCTATGTGGGCTATAAGAAATAGTGAAAGGGATCATGAGGGAAGGAGGGGGAAACAGGGTGGGGAAACATTAGAGAGGAAGACAAACCATGAGAATCTCCTAACTCTGGGAACCAAACAAAGGGTTGCAGAAGAGGGGGGTGGGGGTAGGGAGATGGGGTAACTGGGTGATGAGCCTCAAGGAGGACACCTAATGAGATGAGCACCGGGTGTTATACTATATGTTGGCAAACTGCATTTAAATAAAATTTATGGGATCCCTGGGTGGCTCAGCGGTTGAGCGTCTGCCTTCGGCCCAGGGCCTGATCCCGGGTCCGGGGATCGAGTCCCACATCGGGCTCCCTGCATGGAGCCTGCTTCTCCCTCTGTGTCTCTCATGAATAAATAAATAAAATCTTAAAAAAAAAAAACAATAAATAAATAAAATTTATTTGTAAAAAACTTTTTCTATTGGAGTTCAATTTGCCAACATATAGCATAACACCCGTTAAAAAATAAAATTTTTAAATAAAATAAAATAAAATTTAAAGAGATTTTTTAAAAAAATAGAGATTTGAAAAAAATAATACAATTTAAGAAGAGATTTGAAAAAAATAAAATAAAATAAAAAGAGATTTGAGCCTTCTACACGCAAGGGTCTTCCCCTGGAGACACCGGCAACCCCACGCGCGCACATGCCCACTGCTCCCCGGGTAGACTGAGGCACGGGAGCTTTAAACAGACGGCGCCCACCGCCTCCCGTGGACTGACTCCACCGGGGGCCACACGGTCCCACTGTTTCCAAGCAGCAGCACCCAGCCCTCTCTTCTGGTTTCTTTCCTCCGGGTGGTGCAAAGGCTCAAGGGTGCAACCTCAGGGTGGGGCGCTGAGTCAGCTGCGGGCGGGCTCCCGGAGTGTCTCAATTCCCGCTTCACCCTCTTTCCACTTCGCAGCTGCGCAAACCGCGGCTTGGAAGACGTAGGAGAACTCGGCCTCCGCGGAGAAGCCGCGCAGGCGGCACCCGCAGCCGCGCACCGCACGAAGCCCACGAAGGGGTTAAAACCACCGAGCTGCGGAGCTCCCGCCACGGCCTAGAGAGACCCCGCCCCCCTCTACCCAGTCCCTCCCCCCGCCCTTCACGTCCAACTTCCGGGCGGGGCGCGACTTCCGGTTCCGGCGGCGGGCTACAAAGCTCTGCGCCCGGTGGTTGGTTTCCTCTTGTCGGAGTCGGTTTCGGGCTCCGAGTCTGGTGGCGAGCGGCCCCCGCCCCCGTTCCCCCCTCCCCCCGCCCTCCGAGGTGGCACCTGCGCAGGTGAACGCCCCCTCCCTCCCTTCTTCCCTCCCTCCATCCTTCCATCCCTCCGTCCCTCCCTCCCGCCTCTCCTTTCCCCGCGCGCGGTCTGTTGGGAGCGGCGGCGGCGGCCCGCGGAGCGGGGAAGCGAGGGCTCTGCGGGCCGCGAGGGCTGGCGTGGCCTTGGGTCTCGCTTCTGCTCCGGAGGAGGAGGAGGAGGAGGTCCGGGTCTGGAAGCCCAGAAACCCTTTTCCGGCCCGACTAGGCCCTCCAGGCCGCGCCCATGTGGTGGGAGGAGCCCGGCCCCCTCCCCGCCTGGAGGCCGGGATTTTCCTACTCGGCCGGGTGGTCCCCCCACGTCCCGGCCTCGTGACCTTGGGCACAATCCCCGCTCTTCGAGCCTCAGTTCGTTTACGTGCGAATGGAAATGACAGTAACCGCCCTGCTGGGTTAAGGGCAGGACTGGAGGGGGGAAAGCTCCCGCGGGGCGTCGTCGGGCGTGTCAGACCCCGCAGATAGCGCCGGCGGCTGCTGTGCTTGGTAGAGACCGCTGGGGCGGTAGAGGGTCGGGTGGAGAGTTTGACCAGAGCGGCCCGGAGGATGGCGTGGAAGAGTGTGGAATGCTCAGCACAACGTCAGCGAGGGCTTCTGAAAGTGATGGGCTTTGTAGGCGGGGTGACTCGTGCAAATCCGGCCTTGAGAACCTGGCCTCCTGACACTTGGGACTGCTCTTACAAGTCGGGGTCGTAAGGACCTCTGGAGCTGGGCGGTAGAAGAATTAATACAAGGGTTTTTTTTTTTTCTTTTCTTTATTTCACTCGGAAAGGCTTTGAGCAGGGGGGACATTGCTTCCTTTAGAGTTAAGAAAGTGATCCATAGTTAAAAAGAAAGCCACATGGGAAGGGGATGATCCATGTCCCTCCTGTCCCTGCCGCTCACCAGTAAATACGGTCGGAGGTATTGTTTGTGGATGGAGCAGGTCATGGATGCTGCTCTGGGTGTATTTTAGTTTCCTCGGGTGAGATGGTGCTGCCCACGGATCTGCCCCTTGGTCGGGTGGTGTGTTAGGGAGGTGGGTCTGTATCCGCGCTCACAGGCCGAGTTCATGCTTTAGGAGCCTGCACTTTTGTTCTTTTTTTTTTTTTTTAAGATTTTATTTATTTATTCATGAGAGACACAGAGAGAGAGGGAGGCAGAGACACAGGCAGAGGGAGAAGCAGGCTCCATGCAGGAAGCCCGATGTGGGACTCGATCCTGGGACTCCAGGGCCAAAGGCTGGCGCCAAACCACTGAGCCACCCAGGGATCCCCCCCCCCCCCCCGCACTTTTGTTCTGCTGAATGGCTAACAGTGCTTTAGTTACTCCCCTGTTGATGGTCACTTTTCCTTTCTCAGGCTATTTTTTTTTTTCTTTAAGATTTTATTTATTTATTCATGATAGACACACACAGAGAGGCAGAGGGAGAAGCAGGCTCCATGCAGGGAGCCCGACGTGGGACTCGATCCCGGGACTCCAGGATCACGCCCTGGGTGCAAGGCAGGTGCTAAACTGCTGAGCCACCCAGGCTGCCCATTTTTCTCAGGTTTCATCCAGCCTTCCCTTGACTAAATGTTTTCCTTTTTCTCCAGAGGCTATATTGCTTTGGGCTTCATCACTCTAGGTTAGTGACAGCTTACTTTTAGGGAAGAGTACATGCTGTTCATTGAGCAAAAAACCCCAGATAATATGAGAAGAACAAGTATACTCCCAAGAACATCCAAACTGTACGGTCTAGAATCAATTCAAGGTTCCTAGAAAATGGGTCGTGAAACCTTTAAAGAAGAGGTGATGAGGAGCGGTGAGCGAGTTAAGGCAAGGCAGCTGGTCCGTGTTGTTGATTGTTGGCCTCTGCCAGTTACCCAGGAAACAGATTTGAGAGAGCCTCTGAGGTGGGAGGGATCTTAAATGTCAACACTCCTGCTTTGTTGGCCAGGGAGGGATTAGTTCTTGGGGGAGGGGGTTTGTTAATGAAAAAAAGAGATGGCCTTTGAAAACTGACCCGTGTCATTGGCGTTAGTTTTTGGACATAGCCCGATGTGGAAATTAGTTATTTCTGTATTGTCAGATACAATATTTCTGTATTGAAGAGTGTGTGTGTGTGTGTGTGTGTCTCTCTCTCTTTTAATAACATCGATTGTGGTTTTCCTGTACGTAACCTTTCTCGTGGACTGGGGCCCTAACCCCAATGGAGCAAAGCCTATTTTTTTCTGACATTTTACAGGTCTTTAGTGTGCCCCTCCTCTCCTTCCCCACTACTGCTGGTTTGCTAATTCTAGAGCTGACAAACATCGCAAGAGTTGGAAGTCTATGGTACTAGGATTCTGACTACTTTGGTTTCCCATATACTGAGGAACTTCGATATTTTATCTATTTATCTCAGAGAGAGAGAGAGAATCTGCATGAGAACATGAGCCCATGCAAGTGAGGGGAGGGGTGGGGGCCCAGGGAGAGAGAGAGAATATGAATCTCCAGCAGACTCCCTACTGAGCATGGAGTTCAGGATTTGCAGCAGAAATCAAGAGTCAGATGCTCAACCAGCTGAGCCACCCTGGCAGCCCTGATTAGAGGAACTTAGGATCTTGATCTTAATATAGAAGCTTTTCTGTTTTTTGTGAAGTGGCAGCTTAGATTCCACTCTGATGGTAGCTCCTAAAGTACTTTATATGTTTTTTATTTGAGAGAGAGCAAGTGAGCAGGAACACAAGGTAGGAGAGGGAGAAGGAGAAGCAGGCCCCCTCCCTGAGCAGGAAGCCTGTCGTGGGTCTTGATCCAGGACCCTGATATCATGACCTAAGCCAAAGTCTGCTTAACCAACTGAGCCACCTAGGCATCCCCTAAAGTACTTTTTAACACTCATTATTTCATCATGAAAGGGATTGGGGGGTGGGTAAAAAAGACAGCAGAGTAGATATCAATGAAAAGACCTTTATCTCTTATATTTTAGTACTCATAGCTTGCTTTTGGACACACATAACTCCATAAAAGACATTGGAAGGAGCAAACATCCATGATTTTAAAGATATTCCTCCCCTATAAGTCATGTGCATACATAGTTTTTTGTTTTAACATAATCTAAAATACTTTGTAATGCAGGGAAGATGGATGAAAGATTTTGTAGAAGACTCTAGCTAGGAGGTTTGCATTCTTCATTTTTTTTTTGCCCCTCCCCCGCGGCCTGCGCAGGTGCTGGGCGGGGCCTGCATTCTCCATTTTTATAAACCACTGACACATTGTTCTCAATTGTGCCAATTGATCCAGAAGAAACAAAAATAGAATTTCTAATAGCTTTATTAAGAAACCCTGTTAAGGATTGCCTGGGTGGCTCAGCGGTTTAGCACTGCCTTCAGCCCAGGGCATGATCTTGGAGACCCAGGATCGAGTCCCACGTCAGGCTCCCTGCATGGAGCCTGCTTCTCCCTCTGCCTGTGTCTCTGCCTCTCTCTCTCTCTCTCTCTCTCTCTCTCTCTCTCTCTCTCTGTCTCTCATGAATAAATAAAATCTTTAAAAAAAAAAAAAAAGAAAAGAAACCCTGTTAAGGGATGCCTGGGTGGCTCAGTGGTTCTGAGTCTGCCATTGGCCCAGATCGTGATTCCGGGGTCCTGGGATTGAGTCTCACATCGGGCTCCCTGTGAGGAGCCTGTTTCTCCCTCTGCCTATGTCTCTGCCTCTCTCTCTCTCTCTCATGAATAAATAAATACAATCTTTAAAAAAAAAAAAACCTGTTAAGATTGGAAAACTGATGAAACCTGGGTCTGGATCAGATCCATGAGATCAAGGTGGTTTTTAGAGTCTCTGTGGTCTGTTTTTGCTGAGCCTGTCTCTTCTCTGTGTTTAGGAGTCTGAGACCTCCTTTTCCAGAGTTCCAGAATGGAGACTGAAGGGTACCTAGAGACACAAAGAAGTAAAGAAGTCCAGAATGATAAAATAGGGTCACCTTCAAATGAGATGATGGCTGAGGAGCCAGAAGTTGTCCTAATATCAGCTCCCCAGGTCCAGGCTCCACCAGAGCACCTCGATGCAGACTCAGTTGAAGATGTGGAGACCATGCCACGAAGGAATCCTCCCAATGCGGCAGCCTCTAGGCAGAGGTTCCGGAGATTCCGCTATGAGGACGCAGCTGGGCCCAGGGATGTCCTCAGACATCTCCAGGAGCTTGCCGGACAGTGGCTGAGACCCGATATTCACACAAAGGAGCAGATTGTGGAGATGCTGGTGCAGGAGCAGTTCCAGGCCGTCCTGCCTGAGGAGCTCAGAGCTCGGGCCCAGAGATGTCAGCCTGGGGTCAGAATCACTGGCTAAGTTCTGCCACTGGGTTCTTGCTCAGCCTACATGTGAGAAGTAGCCAAATGTTCTCTTTGTTGCAAGATCCAAGGACAGTCATGGGGGAAATGTGAACCTCGGTTTTTTTGAGCTTGCCTTTGACTAGTTGTAATAAGAATCCATCAAAACCCATGTCTGGACCTCTCTGGCTGAGGCAGCTCTAGTTCCTGGGACTGAGCTCTAGAAAGAGCTTCTGTTAGGACAATCAGCCTGTTGCTTGTTTTTGCTCTGCTGAATGCCTCCTTTTTTGCACTTTCTGACATGCTTTAATATATTGTTATGTATCCAAAGCAGTAATTGCTTCAACTTTCAGAATTCTTGACTCTTGCTGTGGTGGCATGAATGGAAGCTTCTGTAACCCCACCAGTAACTCACTTGATATGTCCTTGAAATATTAAAGTTTGGTCCTCAATCACAGTGTCCTGTGGTGATTTACCATGTTAGCTTTTACTTGACATTTGAGGAAGTTGAGATAAGTATTGGGATGTGAGCTAGAGATACGATAGGAATAGTCTAGGCCTTTATGTTTGGTCACAATTTAAAACAAAGAAGGGGCTAAAACAGGGTCCTTACAGGTAAGTAGCTCTTAGATCTGCTTGATTTTTTTTTTCTTTTCCCCATCTCCATCACATGTGTTCCACAGCTTCTGTCCCCGCAAGAGAACTCACTCTGAAGCTATTTGACTGTTTTCTTCTGCTCTTCCCGAAACAGGTCACCCGGGCTTTCTGTGTGTGGAGAACTGTGCTTTGGTTGACCACTGAGACAGAGCAGTCTAGCTGTGGTGGTGACAAGCACAGAGTAAACTTAGCAGCTGCTTTTCTTCAGTGTAACCCAGTCTCGAGTAACCTTTCTGCCTCTGGCCTGGCTCCTGGATATGTACATCTGCTCCTAGAACCATCTAGGTGCCAATTCAGAAACTAATTTTTGGTAGAGGGACGAGTTAGCTCTAAACTGGAACTCTTGTTGATTTTGCTGGTGTCTTAATACTTCCTGTGCCTTTGGAATGGGTCTAGATGTGAGAATACAAATATAAAGCCCAGTATAAAGGAAATGTATAGTTTTTGAAGAGAGAGGAAGACCTTGAATTATATGAGTAGGATCATTAATAAAACTAGTCTTTTGGTATTTGATTTGGAGATAGCACAAAGAAAACACTTTTTTCTTTTTTTTTTTTATTTGAGAGAGAGAAAGGGGTAGGAGCAGTGGGAGAGGGATAAGCAGACCCCACTCCCACTTGGGGGGGCTCTATCCAAGGACCCTGAGATCACTACCTGAGCTGACATCAGATGCTTAACCGACTGAGTCACTCAGGCTCCCCAAAACCCATTTCCTATTTTAAAAAGTACATTAGAAGCAGAGGAGAGAGGAAATAGCCAAGTTAGGGAAGTGAGGTTTTTGGTTTTTTTTTTGTGTGTGTGTGTGTGTGTGTGTGTGTGTGTGTGTGTGTGTGTGTGTGTGTGTGTTTTAATTTGAGGAAGGGAGAGAGCATGAGCAGGGGAGGGGCAGAGGGAGAAGCAGACTCCCCACGAAGCAGGGAGCCAGACTCACGACTTGATCCTGGGACTCCTGGATCATGACCTGAGCCAAAGGCAGACACTTAACTGACTGAGCCACCCAGGCACCCCTGGAAGTGAGATTTTAATTGAACTTGAGTGGGAGATCACTGGACAAAGCCACACCTTGAGCAAATGTATAGGAATGCTTGGAGACAGCAAACGAGTGAACTGTCCCTTGTATTGACTAGGTTAAGCTTTTCTTTTTAAAACCATTTTATTTCAAAAGATTTTATTTTCTAGTAAGTCATTTCTACACCCAATGTGGGGCTCAAACTCAGAACTCTGAAGAGTCTCACAGTCCACTGACTGAGCCAGCCAGGTGCCCCAGAGGTCAAGCTTTTCTAACTTCTAATTCTGAGAGTAGAAAGTAACATGGGGAAAGGAGTTAGTGACCGTGGTAGGGTCAGAGTATCTCCCATACAGTTTGTTCAGAACATTGTGAAGGTATTTCCTTAGTCTGCAAAGATCAGGAACTCCTGGTGTTAAGGATTTCCAGGCCTAAAAAAAAAAAAAAAAAATTTCCAGGCCTGTACCAGTTTCTCAGCTGCTTGGATGATCTAGAATACAGCATGCAAATAAAAGAGCTGACTTTCCAGTTGGACTAAAAAGTTACGACCTTAGGGATTTTGTAGCTTGATAGTTGAGTCAACTGAGGAGTTGACTGAACGTAGCACAGATTTTCTCAACATTAGCTGTTTGGAGCCAGATAATTTCTCTTTCCTGGAGGCTTGTCTTGTGCGATATACGATGTTTAGCAGCATCCCTACCCTCTACTCACCGGATGCCAATAGCACTCCACTGATGTGACAACCAAAAATGTCTCCAGCCATTGCCACATGTTCCTTAGGGGCAAATTTGCCTTTAGTTGAGAACTGCTGACTTAACAGTTCATCACAGGTAGGCCGCAGATGACCTTTGGATCCCTGGTCTCTTAAGCTTAATGTTGAATTGAGAAAGCTGTAGGAAGAGTGGTATAAATTGGGTTTCATATTGGAGTACCTGGCTGGTTCAGTTGGTAGAGCGTGTGACTTCATCATAGTCTTGAGTTCAAGCCACGCATTGGGCGTGAAGCCTACTTAAAATTATTAAAAATTTGGTTTCATATTCCCTGTGTTTGGGTGATGTCTCCTAGTCTGGCAAATCTTAAATTCTTTGATACAAAGATTAATATTACACCTCCAACTCCAACTGTTCTATTGAGATGGTTATTGTGTGCTAGGATAGATGCATTTGATTAATCTTTATTGTCATCTGACCTTACCTGTTCATATAAATACACCTGCTTTACAGATAAGAAAACTGAGATACGCCAGTTACACAACATGGCCGATAGAATGGGGGAGCTGGGATCTAAGCTTGGGATTTCTGTACCCCCTAGCTTTGGGCTTTTTCCATCATGTTTGGAAGTGTGAATTTAACAAGCGTCTCTTGAGAATCTCCTGCAAGCAAGATGTTTCTTTGGCTTTTTTTCATCTTTATCTTAACATTTATAATAACATTTCAACTTTCTTTCTCAACTCCCATTGACATTTTTAAAACAAAAGCTATATTAGCACATGGATAGAAAAGTCCCAACAGTATAGGAAGGAATAAAAGTAAAATTTAAAGGCTTTCTTCTCATGAATAGTCTGTTACATATACTTCCAGAAAACACGAATTATACAGATGTAAGCACATAGATGTGTGTGCGCAAACATATATCCCTTTTTTATTTGCACAAAATACATACAATGCATGTTTAGGTTATATATTTCTCTTGCCCAGTAAGTCTTGGGGTCTTTTGCTATCAACATACAAAGATGTGCTTTAATTTAAAAAAATAATTTTTTTAAGTAGCTGCAGAATAATTCCTTAAATGGCTAATACCTAGCCTTATACTTTCAGTAAAAAACGCATACCAGAGGATTTAGGGGTGGGGTCAGACCTCCAAAGCCTAAGAGCTTTGTGACAGAGCCATGACTCAACCTCTCGACCTCCACATCCTGAAACCAGAACTGGTACAATTCACAGTTTCACAGTTGTCCAGCACAGTCTCCAGGCAACCCTGTGGTACCAGCTTTTTCTCATGGAAGTGAATTTACAGATGAGATCCTTTGCCCCAAACAAACCTGGTAAGAGGAGAGGCTGAGAGTCCATCTCTATTTCATCTGGCTCCAGCCCCATGCCCTTGCCATGAGGTCACACTGCCTGGATATCAAAGTGCAGACCAAGTCCAGTGTTTCAAGGGCTCTGTGGGGATTTGAGAGCACGGTAATTCCCTAACTCTGTTGCCACTCCCTGAGATGATTCTCGTGCTTTCTCTTTGCGGCCCGGCATTATCCAGCTACCACTAATACCAGTTACTGTCACTTCTTGAGTCCATGTAGAGCCTAGTTCTAGAGAACCCTAAACACTTAATTCTGTGAGAGGAAGGAGGAGGAAAACGTAGAGCAGCCAGAGGGAAGTTCTAAACTATCTCCTACGTCTGATTTCCCCCCTGTGATTATTTTGACTCCAAGTTCTCCAAAGGATAATTTCGTCTAGTTATTGAAAAATGCTCCTGCCAGATGGCTGCTGGTGAAAACCAGTGTGGGGACCACAAGGTAATATCAGATTCCTAGCAACTGGCTGGTGCCATGGAAAAATATGTCATCTATTGGGCAGCTACTCCCTGAGCAGTGAGTGGGTGCCAGGGCCTGGCTGCTGGAGAGGAGGCCAGCTCTGCGAGGTCTGGGGGCCACGAGGAGTCCACTGTGATGGTGGTGGTGGCTGGAACACTCCAGTGTAACTGGCCCTTCCAGGAGCATCATGTGTGGTCATTTTCCACAGGCAGTGCAGTTCAACACATTTGACAATAGCTTGACTATTTTGCTAACTATTTTCCACCCACGGCCATGCATTTATTGGACATTTTCCCTTGGCCTGGAATGCCTTTCCCCCATGCCTCCCCCAATCTTGGCCTGCCTACTCCTACTCATTCTTTATGACGCAGATAGGCATGGTCACCTTCATGAAGCCTTCTTTGATTTCTGCCTCGAATTGGCATGAGAAGCCCTCCTGTGAGCTCTTCTAACACCTTAGCTTGAATTCCAGTCCCTGTTCATGCAGCAAATGTATGTGGCGTACCTGATATGCATTGCCCTGTGGTGTGGCGTCCAGTCTGTGTCCCCAGGCAGATTGTGAGCTCCATCAAGAGGGAATCTCTATGCCCTCAGCCTCCAACCCAGGGCCTGCATGTGATGGATCCTCAAGGAATAGTTTGATTTTTGTAGGAGACATGATCACTGCCTGGTTGAAGGCTCTTCCTTCCAGTGAACACAAACAACTAGAATTCATGGCAGACCATGGGAGGGGGCAGGTGGGAGGGTTAGGGATGGAGGTAAACAAAACAAAGCGAAAAAGGAAAGGCTTCCCTCAGGTGGCTGGCTTCCCTTTTGGTTCTGCACCTGACCTTGAAATGAGGTGAAGTTAACAACCCTTGGCTGCCCCTGCTTGAAAGCTCAAGGGCCCCCTGGGTGCCTAGCAACAACCTGACTGCCCAGAATGGTGATTTAGAAGCTGGGTGTGTCTCCTGGGCAGGAAGCCACCGACACCACCAAAGCAGTGGGGCCTCCCCTTCACTTCCTCTGAGCCAAAACTCCACCTCCAAGTGGGGCCAATACTTAGCGTTAGCAATGTCTTAGCATAAATTGGAGGTTCTGGCAAAAAGAACTCCAGCGCTTACAAGGTGTGTTATCTCTGACCAAGTGTGTGATCTCCGACCAAGTCATGTCACCCCTCTGAGCTTCAGTTTCCACACCTGTCTTGTTCCTGCCTTATTCCCAGCTAGAGTCACAGAAACATCCAATAAATGCTATTGTAGCTGAATCTGCCCAAT